CCCCCCCCCCAAAAAAAAAAGCAAACAATAAAGGTAGCGCTATTTTGTTTTGTCCCTGTATATTACGTAACAGTAAATTAAAAGAAACTCATATGCCACCAAATTCCGCCTTTACATGCAATTATAAAGAACATGATTTTTGTTTTATCTGAACGAAAGCGTACTGATGTCATTGTGATGTTAGTTGTGAAATAAGTTTTTAAAAAAAAAGGGAATTCATATGGAGTAGATGTAGTTGTATCAGCACACTGGAGCTTTCTTTATATAATAATGTGGGTGCGTGTATGTATATATCTGTGTATGTGTGTGTTTGTGTGTGTATGTGTGTGCGCGTGAGTGCGTGCGAGCGTGCGTGTGTGTGTGTGTGTGTGTGTGTGTGTGTGTGTGTGTGTGTGTGTGTGTTTGTATGTGTGTGTGTGTGCATAAATATTCAATACAGGTTTCTAGATAAAAGCCATCACTGCCTTTACCTAATTATCTTGTGTTCTTTTGTCTGTTCTGCCTGTATGTGCATATGACCTTTTCTTTTTTTTTTAAACCGTGAACATTTCAGGCGGATCCTGTATCGCTATAATGTTTCTTGATCTCTGTTCTTCAATCATAATATTTTATCTAAAAACTCGAATTGACCAAACAGTTTTCGAGACCAGTTAATCTAGGCTACATTCGTGTTATCTCTTCTGCCTGTATCTTCAGAAGTAGTCGCCTGCACTGAAAACTGAAAATCCTCAAAACAGCATGTTATATAAGTCATTTTGAGTCCACTTGACCTGCTCTTATCTGAGTCTCCTCTCTCTCTCCCCCGCTCTCTATCTTCTTTTCTCTCTCCTTTGCTCTCCCTCTCTACCTCCCTCTCTCTTTCTTCATCTTTCTCTCTCTGTCTCACTCTATCTCTGTCTGTCTCTATCTCTCTCTTACTCTCTCTTTCCTTCTGTCTCCCTGTCCACCCCCCCTCTCTCTCTCTCTCTATCTCTCTCTCTCTCATTCTCACCCTCTCTCTCTCCCACCCCTCTCTCTCTCGTCTTATTACCCTTCTGTCAGTTGCTGTTGTCTCACCCCTCCGTCATCCCCTTACCCTTTTCCTTCTCTTCGTAAATCCTCTTGCATATCGGTTGTGTGTGTGTGTGTGTGTGTG